AAAAAAAAAAAAAAAAAAAAAAAAAAAGCTGCCTAATCTAATAGATTCATTACAGACACATGAAGAAGTGAGCTATCATTAACGTCTTGACAGAAACAATACAAGACATGAGATGTCTTATATCAGTTTGTTTATATGCTTTTCAAAATTTTATATCCAAGAAAAATATTCCTGGGTAATTGATGTTATCAAAAATTTCATAATCTTTTCCTAAAAAGTCATTGTTATTTACTCATATTTTATGTGATGAGTGTTGTGTAGTTAATATGTGCATACTATTGTCACACTAACATTCATATAAAAGCATATTTGTGGTTTCCAGTATTTAGTGACACTGAATAATTTTCTATTCATTTCGTTTGAGGAATGAAATGATTTCACACACTTGCTAATGCAACATTCAGAGAAGAATGAGGCACTCTCTCTTGGGTAATTATGTGTAATTTGTTTAACTTTCAGTTAGGTTAAAACTTTAACAAAATGAGACTCAAGGGTAAAATAAAACAATTATCTATGCCATAATAACATGTCAAGGTTGAAAGAAGAGAGCCAAGGCAGAGTCCACGCTAAGGTAAGTGGAAACTGAACTTTGAAAATGTCTAACTGCATAAATCTTAAGTAGCTCACAACAACATCAGGGATCTTATGTTCTGTGAGAGAGTTGCTTCCCTCTCACTTGACTTTTTGCTTGAAATCAGAAGGATTAACACACAGGACAAACCTTTAGTATACTCTCAAACAAACCACACTTTTCATTACTTATAAAACTACAGATTTCAAATTAACTTCTGGCATCAGCAATCTATTTCAACTAGGATATTTTTCTACCATTGTTTTCCTTATATCCTCTTCTCCGATCCCTCATTTTCCATCCAGCCAGCATCTCCTTCATGGAGAGGAGGCATGCTGTAGTTTATAAGATTATACCCAAACAGCAGAAGGAATATTTCTGATCCCACTACTTACAACTTGAATGGAATTTCTTAAGGTGTCCAACCCTCAGTACCTCATTTTCTTTGCCTTTTAAATAGGTGTGTTACTACAAACTGCCTTCCAAAGTATTTGCATGGAACACTGGAGTTCACTTCTGTGAGATGCTTAGAGAATCACCTCACACTGAAAGATTTCCTTCTAGCTCTGGACATTATTTGCATTCCTGTGCTGCTGGCTAATCTTTCATAATTCTCTAGTAAGAGTTCACGAATCATAAGAATATGGATCTGTCAAATATAGACTATGTATTATTAATGAAATTCTAAATTTAACGGGGTATATTCATTTCTATATTGGGAAAACAAGGTATATTTACAGTAAATATTAATATCAAGCCAAGATATCAAGCCATAAATATTAAGCCATAAATTTAATGGCTGGAAGTTTACCTTAGTTATTTTCCATCCATTTTTGGGAAGGTGTTTTCTTGTCCTTTTTCTTGAATATCTCCATCACAACAGCCTCTTGAAGGTATAGCAAGGTAAAGCTTGAAGGTATAGCTTGTAAAGCAAGTTTCAGTAGTGTTTCATTGAGGACAAGTGTGTCATTTTTGGCTTATTGTGTCATTTTTGGCTTATTGGGAGGAGGAATATCTTTGAAACTTGAGATAAAAAATGATTGCTATGTTGCGGTCTGCAATTTTCTTCAATACTTATGAATTAGAACTGATTGTTGTGAATTTTTAGGTTGTGCTTTGTTGCCCTTCCTCCCTACTGTTACCGTATTTTACTTGTTTATTCTTTTGGCTATCATCAAAATGAATTCAAGTGAGGAGAGCAACAAAACCTTCTCCACCCGTACTATCCCCTTGAGAGTGGTGGTGGCCTTCTGCAGCACACTGCTGTCCATATACCTGCCGCCCAAATCCAGCCACACTTTTCAGGTTGATAAAATGCTCTTGGTGTTTTGCATCCTGCTGATCACAATGCTTAATCCATTGGTCTACAACCTGAGGAACAGAGAAATAAAAGTTTCCAGAAAGAGGCCTTTAGGCTGGCCATACTGATGTATAGCTATAACCCAAGCACTTCAGGAGCCTGAGTTAGGTGTATAGCCAGTTAAGGTCCAGCCTGGGCAATTTAGTGGGATACCTCAGAGTGCAGTGTGAAAGCTCTGGGTGCACTGCCAAGAACTACACACACACACACGCATGCACACACACACACACACACACACACTGAAAAAGAGAGAACTTTACCTCATCCACTTATTTTCTGATTAATCACTTAGCACTGTTTTTACTGTGTCCAAATAATTATAGCATCAAAAAGTAGAAGTATTTTCCCAGTTCAAGATTTCAATTTTTCAGGACAAAATCCTTTTTGCATCAACCTACACTCATCACCATTTCAACAAAACATATCAAATTGTGGTCAGATGACAAAAATCACAGGTGACGTTCAAGATCCCATTGGAATCTCTACTGTTTATAAATAATGAAAGTCACACCAAAATTCTGGTTGAGCTTAGTGATGCAGAAGTAAACACATTGGCTTTAATGAATATCATATACCAAACATGGTGGCTCACCCCTGTAATCCCAGCACTCGGGAGGCTGAGGCAGGAGGATCAGTATAAATTCAAGGCCAGCCTGCACTGCATAGAAGAACCTGTCTCAGAAAGGCAAAAAATTTATACAAAAAATATCTTATATTGTTTTCTTCAACTAGCTCTCACCACATTACAATTCAATAGCAATATGTTTGTTGGCTAATACATACTCAGTATTTTCCTATTGTTTTTAACAGGTAAAATTGTAGCCTATAAATTAATCGCTTTTACCTAGCTGTTTATTTTGTTGTTTACAGTTTCACTCCTTTTTCTTTACTGTGACACATATATAATAAATAATTGCCC